GGCCTGTCGGCCGCGGCTCTGGACACCCGGTGTGTGTCCAGGACAAAATCCCAGCGGCGGGAAACTGCGGCCCAGGCCCAGGGCCCTGCTTCTGGTTTCAGGCTGAGCGTGGGAGCCCGAGGCCAAGCGGTGGTGAGGCCTCGGCCAGGGCCTCCCTGCCTCCGCCTCCGGAACTCCCCTAAAAGCCCCGGCAGGTGGGAGGCGGAGGGACTGCGGCAGGAAGCCCTCCCCCCCTCAGGACCTGGTGTGGCTTCCCAGTGGCAGGACCCACCTGAGGCCCTGGTCACTCCTCCCACAGAGCAGGGAAGGTGGCCGGCGGCCAGGGCAGACCCAGTTCCTTCTCAAAGCTCCCCATTCCTCCCGGTGTCACAATTGGAGAGAAACTAAAGTGGGGAACAGCACCCCTGAGACCTGGGGGGCCCTGTGAGCCTTGGGGGCCTACAGGACCCCAAAGTCAGAAGAGGACGTGGGGTCACCGTGGGCAGTGGGCCATCCTTGTGGGGAGGATGTTTGCCATCCAGAGAGGAAACTGGGACTGAGCCGCTAGAGGCAGGACCGCGTTCCCCGGAGAGGGATCTAGTCAGAGCTGGCCCCAGCCTAGGCGGGCAGTTCCTCAAAAGGTGCGAAGAATGCCCGAGGGTGTGACTCTGCGCTCTCTGCCCCAGGGGACGGAAAGAGAACCCGTCTGTGCAGACCTGGTCTAGGCGTGTTCCTGGCAGTACTGACCACGTGGCCTAAACGTGGAATACCCACGTCCATCAGTGGGTGGAGGGGAATGGAACGTGGTCTGGCTGTACAATGGAATATTAGTTGGCCATAAAAAAGTGAAGTGCTGATTTGGGCTACAGCCTTGCCTGAAACCTGCTGGGTAAAGAAGTCAAACGATAGAGGATGATTCCATTTATATAAAAAGTCCAGAACAGGCACATCTGCAGAGACAGGAAGCAGATGAGAGGTGGTCTGTGGCTGGGGTGGGGCGAGAGGTTTGGGGGGTCGTGGCTAAGAAGCGGGAGGCTCCCTGGACCAGTAAGAATGTTCCAGACTCACGGGGGCGGGGGCGGGCGGTTCTACTTCTACACGAAAAGCTTTGAGCCGGACACTCTGAGTGGGGGAGTTGTATTATCTAGGAATTGTATCTCAATAAACCGTCCTAGAAGTCCAGTTAGGCATCAGGAATCTGGGGTCCAGGGCAGGAGAAGAGGGTGACCCACTCTGGGGGCGAGGACGGGATTCTCCTTTGTCCCACCTTCCTGTTCCTCTGGTCCCCAGCCTGCCACACGGAGGCCAGTCTCCCCGCCCGCCCACTGACTCACAGGCCTGGCTCCCCTGGAAACCCCCTTGCAGACATTTCCAGAAAGGGGGTTTCACCGGCTGTGAGGTGTCCCCCAGCCAGGCAAGGGGACACCTGAGTGGCCCATCCCAGGCGGGGTTGCTGGATCGCACTGTGCGAGGGTGTCCCTGAGAACCTGCCCAATGACCTTCCACGGTAGCAGCTCCGCTTTGCTTCCCAGAGCCGCGAACGGAGGCTGGACGGCCTCACCAGCCCCGGAGGCTCCTGGGTGACGGTTCTTGTCTAGCGCCTCAGTGACCGGGCAGCGTGGTTCCGAGGAAAACGCAGGTTTGGGGTCACATCCACCTGGCTCAAGTTCCAGCCCCGCCACTCACCCGGGGTTCCTGGCTGGACCTCTCTGGAGCCCCGGAAAAGCCGCGCCACCTGCCTACTCTGGTGGGTTGGAGCGTCCACCCTGGCGGCTTTGGGACTGCAGCTCTGTGGGAACGTCCGTGTGCCCCTCCCCGCCTGGCAGTCCCCAGGGCCTTTCAGCACACCTAGCTTCGCGCCTCGGGAACCTGGGTGGCTGCCTGGGTCTCTAAGCCCTTCCCAACGGGGTCCCAGAGCCAACCCCCGAGGTCAGACCCCCTGAGCTCGGGCCCTCAGCGAGCAAAGAGCCTTGGAGCCGTTCTAGCAGGAAGCCAGGCGTGACATCAGACACAGGCACTGCCGCAGCGGGGGTCAGGGTCAAGGTCAAGGTAGACAGAAGAGCACTGCCCTCTCCGGTAGCAGTCCACCCCGGACAGGCCCTACTGCAGGGCCCCGGGCCCTCTCCCTCGCTTCCTCGCCGTCATCCCTGGTTTCCATCTCAGTGACTCAAAATGGCTGCTTCTGCTCTTGATGTCGCAGCTCATCCCACCAGAAGGAAAGTGACAGCCCCAAGGTGGCACAGCTGTGTCTCCCGGCCCAGTCCCATGACCACTGTGAGGCGGAGAGGCCCCGGAGCAGCCTTTAGCTGGAGGGTCCACCGTCCCCTGAAAGCTCTCTTTCGGGTTGAAGGAAGCTGATTGAACATCAGCGTGAGGAAGACGTCCCAGGAGCCCTGCGGAGGGCTGTGCAGAGGGACTGGGCCGCCTGGGCAAGGGGGCCAGGGGCGGGGTGGGGAGCGAGAAAGGGCAGAGTGGCCAAAGTGACCCACAGGATTCGTGCTGCGGGCGGCCAGGGTGACGGGACGCGGCCTGGGGCTGCGGGGCCAGGATGGGCCGTGGAGGGTGATGGGCTGTGGGGTGGGGGCCCTGTGGGGGGACTGGAGTGACCGTGGGGCCTAGAAGTGGGCTCAGGAACCTGGCCGGAGCCTGGCCAGTCAGAGTCTCTGCAGATGCAGAGACCCACGGCACCTAGTAGGTTGTTTTCTCCCCCAAAAGAACACAGGAAAGTCGACCTTCTTCATGAGGCTGGAGGAACACTCAGGCCCAGGGCAGAGGCACGAGGCCGGGGTGAGGAAGAGGTGTGTGGAGCAGCCGCCAGCGTCCCCTGTCCACCACACGCCGGTGCTGACGCCGCTGGTCGGAGGCCGTCCTCTCTGGGGTGTGCAGAGCCGGGAAGTCGGGGAGCTATCGGCTTTGTGGCTGCCCTGTCCCCGTCAGCTCTGTTTGCTGGGTACCTACTGCGGGCCAGGCCCTGGCAGGGGACACTGAGGTGGGAAAAGATCCAGCCTGACCCCAAGAGACTGTCACACGAGTAAGGCGTGTCCCCCAGCCACTCGGGAAAACCGGGCTCCCTCTGTGGAACGGGATGGGAGTGGGCAGGGGTGGCCCGTGGGGCGGGGCTGCCTGCTCCTGGGCGTCGGCTGCCCCCTCTGTTTTGACCTTCAAGGACTACAGCGTCCGCCACAGCGTCTCTGAGGCAGGATCTCAAGGGACGGGGGCCCTAGAAGTGCTTGGGGGGGGTTGTGGTCACCCTGGTGGCTGGTCCAGGGTGACCAACATGTCCTGATGCCTGGGACTGTCCCAGTTTTCGTCGTGCACTCCGGCCAGCTCAGTCCAGGAGAACTGGGAGGCTGGCCATCTGGGGCTGAGGTCCTGTCTCGGTCACGTGCTCCCCGTCGCCCGCCCAGCTAAGCCGGGGTCCCAAGCCTGGCCGCACACTGGCGTCCTCTCGGGCAGTATCTTGAGGATGTCCGGGCCCCACTGGGACCAGTGCACTCAGAGGTACAGCGGGGGCCGGGCACGGATCTTGTGAAACACCCTCCGGGGGACGGGCAGACGGGGGACAGATCCAGGGCATTCTCACCTGGCCCAGCAGGTGCACGTGGTGCCGACTCTAGGTCAGCGCTGTCCTGGGGTGGGGACGTGGCGTGGGGAGAAGAGGAAGGTCAAGGGCCTCTTTCAGGGAGTGGTGGACACAGGAAAAACAGAAGCAAGTCACCTGGAGACTTTGAGAAGCGGCTGTGGAGGGGCTGGCTGGACGGGGTCGGGGCTCCTATCCGGGGGCTGCTGTCCAGGGGCTGCTGTACCCCGCTGGCTGGACGGCTGGACGGGGGGCCCAGGGGCTCCTATCCGGGGGCTGCTGCACCGCGCGGGGCTCAGACCACGAGCTCCCTCCCCAGGCTGCAGGCTGCAGGCTGCAGGTCCCAGATCCAGTGTCGAGGGCTGGCTCCGGGGGTCCCAGGAGCCTGTCGGTCCTTCTCCCCCAGATCCTGTGGCTGCCAGGAGCCCGGGCACTCGCTGACTGGTGGCTTCGTCACCGTCCCTCTCCTCTGCCCCCCGTGTTCTTGGGGGCTTTCTTCCCTGTCCCTAAGGGTTCCCTCCTGATAAGACCCAGCGTTGGACTCAGCTGTCCCTAAGTCCCGACGTCCCGTCTTAGATCTTTAGTCACCTCTGCCAACGTTTTCCCAGATGGTGGCATTCCCAGGCCCTGGAGCAGGAGTGAGCCATCGTATGTGGGGCCACAGCTCAACCCGCGACAGATACCACACAGGGACGGCCTGAGGGGCATCTTGGTGTGAGCAACGTGTGGAGGGACCCCAGGGAGCACCAGCAAGGGACAGGGGTGGGCGGCAGGGGAGGGCGGTAGCCAACTGGGGACCTCCTTGGGCAGGCCTCCTCCATGGGCAGCTCCGTCCCTCTGGGGTCCCGGGAGAGCGAGCCTCCGAGTCGCCCTGCCCACCTAAGGGTGACGGGATCGGGCAAGTGGACGCAGCCCCTGAGAGCCATCGGCTGGGGGAGAGGCTGGGCTTTGTCCTCTGCCGCTGGACCTGGTGGCTTCTGCAGGACAGAGAAGCGCTCAGGGGTCTGCAGACAGGGGAAGGGGGAGGACCGGGAAGTCCTAGTGGTACCCACCAGGGCCACCGGGAAGTGACATTGGGGCTTCCAGAAGGATCTGAAAGAGTCAACCATGTGACCATCTCTCAGGACATGTGACAGGCCTGCCAGGCAATGTCCCCCAGCCAGAGCCAGCGTGGAGAGTCCCAAGGACAGCCACCAATATGGCGCATGGCCGGGGCCAAGAGGAGGGCGTCCCCGCGCTACATGCTGGGGGTTGGGTGGCGCTGGCTGCGGAAGCCAGCCACTGCACAGGGTTCCTGTTGGACATGTCACTTGGTGTGTGGCCTGGAGGTGGACCACAGGGAGGGGGCCGGAGGTGGGTGGAGGGTCCACCTCACCCAGCTGGGCGACCTCAGGCCAGTGCCTTCCCCTCTCTGGGCTGGAATCAGGCTCAGCCAACCTACCTGTGACGGCTGGCTCCCGCGAGCGGAAGTCCCCGAGCGCAGCTGGAGGAGCCTTGTCTGGCTGTGGTGGAGGCAGAGGGGGCTGGACAACCTCTTGGGCAGAAGTGGCCATGCCTGGACCCGTCAGGTTCCGGGCGGGGCCTTCCTCAAGGTCTCCGCTGTGTGGTTGGGGTTTTCCAGAAGTGAACTGAGCTGAATCACGCATTGTGCATCCACGCCTTCGAGGTGATTCTGAGAAACACAGCTGCAGTCCTCAGGTGGCCTCGGTGGGCATCCAGCCCTGGGGCCAGAGGACTGTCTGGTCCAGGGTTCCGGGAGGCACGAGGTAAGCCAACGACTGTCTGTGGCTCAGCCTCCGCTATCTCCCTGACCGTGAAGACAGGTGACCTGGACTCTGAGGGTGGGGTAAGTGCAGGAGCGTGGGGTCCCCACGTGGGGTCCCCACGTGGAGTCCACGTGTGGTCACATTTTGGTTAATGTCCCCAAGCTCAGTGTCCTCAGAGCCTGTGTGTTGGCTGCCAGGAGGTCCAGCCCTACCCAGGTCACTTCCCTCAGCAGACCCCAAAACCTCGAGGGTGGCTATAGAGATCCAGGGACCCCCACTTATCAAGGGCTTGCCATCTGCCAGGCTCTGTGGTGGCACTTTATAAGGACAGGTTTCACTCCCATGTAAGGAGACAGAACCCCAGAGTCATGAACTTGCCTTGTGGAAGACGCTGACAGGTAGCCACTGCCACCTGCGTTTTAAATGGGACAGTAGAGCCAAGACACAGAAGCCACCGAGCTGTCCGGCAGTGAGTGGGTGCGAAGTGTGGTGTGTGCACACCGTGGAATATAGTGCAGCCAGGACAAAGGTGCAGGCCTCCACCAGAAAACCTCTAGAACTAATAACTGAATTCAGCAAAGTAACAGGACATAAAACCAACACCCATAAAAAACCACGTTCCTACACATCAGCAATGAATCCACTGAAAGAGAAATCAGGGAAACTACTCCATTCACAATAGCCTCAAAAAACAAACAAACAAACAAAAAACACCTGGGAATCAATCTAACAAAAGAGGTGAAGGACCTCTACGATGAAAACTGCAGAACACTAAAGAGAGAAACCGAAGGCAACCTCAGAAGGTGGAAAGGTCTCCCACGCTCCTGGACAGGCAGAATCAACATCGTCAAAATGGCCACATACCAAAAGCACTGTGCAGACTGAATGCGATCCCTCTTAAAATCGAATGACATTCTTCATAGAAATAGAAAGAGCCGTCAGAAAATTATCTGGAGAAACAAGAGACCAGAATAGTGAAGCCGCCCTTAGCAAGAGGAGGGGGCAGGAAGGCATCTCAGTCCACAGACGGCCATCTACCAAAGGGCGCACGCGTCCTGCTGTCCCGTGTGACCGACTAGAACAAGTCAGACAAGAGGGAGGCTTGTCACGAGCAGCAGCATGGACGGAACTGGAGGACACTAGGTCAGGTGAAATGACCAGGAACAGAAAGACAAGGACCCCATGCTCTCGCTCACCTGTAGAAAGTAGAAAGTGGACTGTGGTCCCTAGCGGCCAGGAAGCTGGGCGGGGATGAGGGGTAGAGGGGGTTGGATGCTGACCGTTTGCAGGGACTTATTCTACATTTCAAGATACCTGGAGAGCAGTCCCAAGTTTCCCGGCATGAAGACATGATGGGGCTTAAAGGGACAGAAGTGCTGGTCGCGCTGGCCGGGTCTTCGAGACACCCACTGACTCATCACAGCGCAGCTCACAAACACGAGTGATCATGATTGTTAAAATGAGAATTTTAAAGGTGGCCCTCGAGCACAGGACTGCACTGCGTTTCCCAGCATCCCTGCCACTGGCTGTGGTCATGTAACCAGGCTCTCTCTGATGGCCACTGAGGTCCTTGTGGGCCCTGCAAGAGAGCAGGTCTGTGTCCCCCACAGTCTCTTCCTCCACTTTGGAAGACAGAGGTCCCGGGGCACAAGGCAGCCATTAGATAGAAAGTGCCAGAGTTTCTCCAACAGAGAATCATCCTCCTGCAGACTGAACGCTCACCCAGGGAGGGACATCACGTGGCCCAGACACATTTCTTCCCTTAGGAAATGAGAGGTCCCTTGCTGCACAGCTGCCCAGAGCAGCAGCGGAGCCCAGATCTGAGCCCGGCTTGTCGACTCCGGGAGTCTCGGCTCTTGACCGCTGTGTGGGTGGCGTGGTGGTGGCTGCCACCAGTGGGCCTGGAGACACGGGTGCCCAGTGGGTCATGCCCCAGCACATCAGCTTTGGTCCATTCCTCTCTTCTGCTGGCCTCGGTCACCCTAAACTGCTGGTAGGTCTGGAGTCGAGGGTCAGACTGTGCCGCGGCACAGCACAGGACCAGGACATTCCACGGCGGCCACCATCGATGGTGCTGGGCAGGGGTCTAGCTCCCCAGGTCCTCTGCACACAGAGTGCCGGGGGCTGGAGCAGGGACCTAGGTGGGCGCCACTGCACACTGTGCCTGAGCCTGGCTCCCCTTGACGCAGGTTTCAGGGCCGAGCCTCACCTCCCACTCTTTGACCCTTATTCCCCCCCATTAACTTTATTTTGGGGGACCTGTGGCTGCACGCGGACGCCCCACTTCATGAGTTATGCTTGAGTGTCTCAGAGAACAACAGTGAAGGGTACCTGAGTTGGGGGTCCTTTTGCTTGTGAGGGGTCCCTGATCCCTCTGTAAAGCAGTTAAGGCTGACCAGCCTGCAGGCTCTGCCACCTCCACCTGCCGACAGTCCTGGGCTGCCAGCTGGGCCCGGGGCACTGCGTCGAGGTGGGTGAGCTGTCGGAGTCTGCTTTCTGTTGCTAGAACAAAATACTCGAGACCATATACTTTATAAAGAACTGAAATCTGATTCCTGAATCTGGAGGTTGGGAAGTCCAAGAGCACCGCAGCGTCTCTGTTCAGCCTTCCGGTGAGAGCCCTCTTGCCACATCATAACGTGGAACAGGGTGCCACTCGGCAAGACACAGCCAAGGTGCTGCCTTGGGTCTCTCTTCCTAAAATGCCATGGATGCCACCGTGGGGACCCACCTCGTGACCTCCTCCAGTCCTAACCACCTCCCGAGGCCCTTCCTCCACACGCCATTCACATGGAACTTGGGGATTGTTTCCAACGCATGGACTTTGGGGGTCACATCCAAACTGTAGCAGGGGCCATGTCCCCTCTTCTCCCAGGGGCTCCTGTGCCAGCCACCGTGGCCTGAGGGAGAGAGAGGCAGCCACCAGGCGCTGGTGACTGGTTCGGGGTCACCCTGCCCAGCAAGTGGGTAGCTGATGTGGGCAAAGACCCCCTGAGTGTCCCTGACGGCTGTAGGCGGGGCCCGGGTCTCTTGGCCGTCTTCCTGCGCGCAGGTCGGTAGCACTTCACCCCAGCAGCAGCGCGGCTCCTCTCGGCCGAAGACCAACCCTCAGGCTGCAGGGACCCCTTCTGCCTGCATGTGCCCAGAGCGGGGAGAGCCTGCGGATTCACGTCCCTGCTGGGGTGGCCCTTGCCCAGTGGCTGATGGGAAGGCTGGGGACAGAGCTGCCTCCCTCCCGAGGCCCTGTGGGGGGAGCCAGGTCCCTGGATCGTGCCGTATCTGCACCTGCTTCATACGCCGGAGCCCTGACCTCCGGTCCCTTCCGACGTGACCCTGTTGAGACCTAGAGCTGTCACAGATACTGGTCAGCTGAAGTGAGGCCATGCAGGAGCAGGCTGGCCGCCTCCGACAGGGTTAGTGTTCTCGTAAAAAGAGGGATGTGAACACAGGGACGGGACCATGTGAAGGTGAGCATCGCGCTGCCGTGAGCCTGGGGACTCGGGGGCCAGGAGGAGGCCTGGGACAGGCTGGGGGAGTGCTGCCCGGTCCACCTCGACCTCGGACTCCCGGACTCCAGACCCTGAGACGGTCCGTTTCTGCGTTTCCAGCCGCTTGATTGGTGGCACTTCAGTCACAGTGGCCCCAGGAAACAGAGACCTTCAGAAGCTGTGGCCCCGCATCAACGCCTGCACGCGCCCCTGCTCCCGTCCCTGCTCCCGTCCCTGTCTCCCCAGGCTGCTTCTGGGGCACCCCTCCCGAGACACTGGGTCCGTTTGCTTCTCCTCTTCGCGGTGCTGGGGATCCACCCAGGGTCTGGGCCCACCAGGCGAGTGCCTACCGGAGCTGTGCCCCAGCCCCCAGGGTGGCTTTAGGAGCAACCGCAGGTTTGCCAGGTGGGGGGGGGGGGCAAGGGAATGTGGGCTGCGTGGGGGTGGGGGGTCTGCAAGTCCTTTACGGGGGCGGGGGGGGGGGGGGGGGTGGTGGGGGGGGCAGGGGCCGGCGGGGGGTGGGGGGCAGGCTCCGCTTCCAGCCCTCGAGAGAAACCCGAAGTGGAGCTCAAAACCCGAGACCCCTGACTTTTAAACCCCGGGGGCCAAGTCCGTGAACTCCGTGTGGCCCTTGTCTTCTGCTTGTTCCTTCAGACTTTCTAGGCCCGACCCAAACGTGTCTGGAGACCGGAGTTGACCTTTGGGCTGGCACTTTGCTAAGTCACTTTGGGCAGGGACCCCGCACCCCAGCCTGTGTGGGCTGTGACAGGAGGCAGACCTGAGGCCCGCCGGCTGGCTGGCCGTGCCCCTCTGCTTCCAGAACTCTCCAAGGCTGGTGTCCACACCATCCATCCCCTTGCCTTGCCACCGAGACGGCACTGGAGGAAGACGGACGTAATCACTGTCTTAGCAGACACGTGCTCTGCACAGTCTACGTTCTGAGCACGTGGTCAAATATGAACTCCTTCTTCCATCCGACAGCCCAGAGGTAGGGCCCATTTCTCACTTCACACACAAGGAAAGAGGCTCAGAGAGGTTGAGTAACTAGTCCAAGACCTCCCAGCCCAGAGGCAGAGCCAGCTGCAAACCCAAACACGCTGGGTGGTGCTGGCTGCGCTCCAGACGCACTGAACTGCTCCAGGGATGACTGTGCTTGGTGGTGTCTGGGTTTTCGGGAACCTGTGCTTGCCCCTGGGCAGTCCTGCAGAGCCAGTCGGGCTGTCTGGGGGAGGAGTAGAGTGTGGCCACAGAGCACAGCAGGCTTCCTCACCCGCCTGGACAGAGGCCAGCACCAGGCGCCTGAGCGCTTTCTCCTCAGCGGAGCATTTCCCGTAAGCAGTGGACCTTCCAGGGCAGACAGCCAGGCCCGCCTGGGCTCCTCCTCCAAGAGCACAACACAGCCCTGCGGCCTGGGCTGGAGCAGCCCTGTCCTGCAGCCCTCCTGAGTCCAGCTGAGGAGGGTGGGTCCTGGGTGTCCCCTGGGGGCTCTGAGCCTCCTGGCTTATGTGTCCTTGAGTGCAGAGCAGGGCGCTGGAGAGTGTGGGGGGGAGCCCCAGGCTGGGCTGGGCACAGGGGTGTGCGCGTCTCTGAGAAAGGCCCTGGTGCGAGCCACACCTCTCCTCGGCCCAGCTGTGGCGTCCTCATCAGAGCGGGCACCTTCCCTGGGGTCGTGCGTCTCTTCATTCCCTCAGCCCTTGTGCGACGCCCAGGGCATGCAGGGCAGAAAGGGCACCTGCTATAGGGACGGTTCTCTAACGGGGGAATGGGGAGGAGAAAGGTCATCAAACCCATAAGAAGACAAGAATCAGAGGCCATGGAAAGAGCTAGAAAGGACCCACACCTGCAGGCCACGACCAGGTCCCAGAGTCTGGACCTGCAGGCTGTGACCTAGATCCCAGAGTCTAC